TGGAGAACTTCTATTGGCTCGTTGCCAGGATTACTTTTCGAGGACTTAAGCCTGTCATCCCCGCTTTTGATCACGCTCACGGTGTTGACATTCCTTCTGGTGAGGCTGATCTTAACACACACTCACACACACACACGCGGGACTATAGACATTGCCTTTGGACTTATGCACACACACTTACTCTCATACAACGGGCTTTATATTGTTGTGGTGTATTATTGTTTGTGTCTATGTTTTGTGTGAAATACACGGAAGGAGATTTTGAACTTGCAGTATGTTCCATGAACTCTGTTTTCAACCATCTTAAAAAGGAAAAGGAAATTAGAATAGACGTTCTTATTTAATTTGTAACTTGGCTGTACAACGATCAGTTTGTTACAAGGCAGTAGTTGACCAGGCTGGAGAAAGTATCCTAAGGCGTTCGCAGAGACTCCATGAGCCACCAAAAAGGCTACAGTACCCTCAATTAGGGAATCCCCTTTCCTTGGTCATGCAATCTTTACTGCGGGGACTCAGTACAGCGTTCACAGCATCACTGGAGGAGTCTGACTGTCTTTGGGAAACCCCTCAAGGAATAAAAGCTGGATCTCCCTCTGCTGTAATTGCACAGCCCGGACGATGCAGTGGGACCTGCATATCTTAAAGGCGGGGAGAGTGTAACCCGGGTAATCCAGGCTACTAAAAAAATAATATGAAAGCAGAAAATAAGTAAGAAAGAAACAAAGAAATCACATATCAAATGAGGTGATGGGCTCTTTAACCCCCTGAGCCCGACGGCGTCGTCGACGATGCCACACGTCACCTCCGATAAATGTTTACATAACTCGATGACAGATTTATCGATTTTCTTACCGTTTTTTCCAGCAGAAAGCTAACGAGCTAGCCATCACGGGGGTGTCTTTCGGGTCTTTCTAGCCTTTACAGAAGGTTTTCTATCCAGCCTGGAACTTGTGCTTCCTTTCAGAGGTTTTCAGCAATAAATCCAAACGCTTTATGTCAAACTTTGATAATCTTGAAGCCCATAATTCATAAATATTCGGTCATTTTTGCCGCTAGCTCGATGTTAGCGGACATCCTGGATATCACGTGATGTTTTCACGTGATGGTTTTCGACCAATTACAGGCTGATCCGTTGTAAACATTGGTGTGCGTCATTACGCATGAACCAAGCGCTGATATAGTGTAGAGAGATAGAGAGACTCACGGAGACGCGCGATTCACAGAGAAACACAGCGAAATGGACATAAATAAAGCGCTTGTCTATTTTGGTGCATTGCAGGATGAAGGATTTTCAGGAGAACAGAGCTTTTTGACAGATGAGGAACTAGATTACCAGGATAGACCCAGCTGAAGTGCCATTTATTTATTTACTGTAAAAAGTATTATAGTAGTATAAATGTATTATAAAAGAATAAAAAGAACATAATAAATAAAAGAATAAATAAAATAGAAATGCAAAACCTGTGATGTGGCCCTCTGTGTGATTGCTGATAGGAACTGTTTTGAGGCTTGGCACCAGTGAATTTCATGAGGCCCCAAACGCCTGGACTTCTTTTGGAAAAATGTCAATATTTTTTGTTCTGTACAAGTTATAATGTTTATTCCTGTGCTCCAGGACTCCAAAGACATGAACAAACTATTTTCCAGAGGAAAATTGCTTAGCTTTTATTTATTTGTGTGTGATTTCAATAAATAATTAAGTGATTCCATTTCCGATTTATTTTTTCATTTGTCTTTATGGTCCCATAACTTATTTTACATTCAGGTGACATCAATGTAACACAAATATGCTGAAAGTTCAATTTGTCCTGAAAAAAAAAGAGGTGTGTCAATTGTCTGTGCACCAAAGGGTTGATATTTTACAAGCTTTTTTAGTAAATGACACCAGACGGAAAATTTATTGTAAAAATACCCTTAGGTCTCAGAGGGTTAAGAGCTAGCAGCAGAGGAAGTGCGGGAGTGCGCTAAGCCCCGCCCATCTGTACTAGCGGGCGAGTGAGATGAGCCCAGTAAACACAGAACGTTCCCATAACGTTCCCATATGGTTCCCATTTGGTTATTTTTTTGGGAACCAAATAAGAACGTTCTAAGAACGTTCTCTGTAGGTTTTTTTTTTAATAACCTAAAGAGAACGTTCCGGGAACGTTCCCTGCAGGTTATTTTTAGGTTTAATTTTGTAACCTAAAGAGAACCTTCCCAGAACGTTCCCTGCAGGTTATTTTTAGGTTTAATTTTTATAACCTAAAGAGAACGTTCCGGGAACGTTCCCTGTAGGTTATTTTTAGGTTTAATTTTGTAACCTAAAGAGAACCTTCCCAGAACGTTCCCTGCAGGTTATTTTTAGGTTTAATTTTATAACCTAAAGAGAACGTTCCGGGAACGTTCCCTGCTGGTTATTTTTAGGTTTAATTTTGTAACCTAAAGAGAACCTTCCCAGAACGTTCCCTGCAGGTTATTTATAGGTTTAATTTAATAACCTATAAAGCTCTCTGTGAAAGTCCAGGTTAGTTGAATATTCAACGACAATAATGTTATTTGAAATAATCAATAGGCTACAGCTTTCATATTCTATTTACAAAGCACTTTCAGGACATCTTTATTGTATGTACATATACGTGCTGCTTGATTTTGACGTGGTTTATCATCAATGCCGTGCACGTGAACTTTCGAGTCTCTCAAACACTGGAGCGGCCGGCGCGCAGAGTTGCCATGGAAACGGCGCGGGACCACTGCTACTGGTAAACAACAAAACTCCCTCTCGTCTCGCTGTTGTTTCAACTTTTCACGGCTTTTTTCAGGTGAGATTACTCTCTAAAAGCACACGAATAATACTCACAACTGTTTTTGACATTTCTTCTACTTGTAATTGACACGATTCTGTTAAAAATGTACTTTATCTATGGCAAGCCGTTTTAACTTTTATTCATCCGCAGGATATGAATTCTTGATATCAACAATGCCATTTTTTGATGTCAAGAATTTAATTGTTGATATCAACAATTAAATTCTTGATATCAACAATTCAATTCTTGATATCAAAAAATGGCATTGTTGATATCAAGAATTGAATTGTTGATATCAATAATTTAATTGCTGATATCTGTAATTGTATTTTCACTAGTGAAATGTCACCATAGGCTGGCAAGCCGTTTTAGCTTTTATTCATTTCCAGGATATGAATTCTTGATATCAACAATTACATTCTTGATGTCAACAAATACATTTTTTGATATCAACAATTAAATTATTGATATCATCAATTCAATTCGTGATATCAACAATTACATTTTTGATATCAAGAATTCAATTGTTGATATCAAGAATTACATTTTTGATATCAAAAATGTAATTCTTGATATCAACAATTGAATTCTTAATATCAACAATTGTATTTTCACTAGTGAAATGTCCCCATAGGCTGCCATTCAAAACCAATTGTTGATATCAAGAATTGATTTCTTACTAGTTGAAATTCCAATTTCACATATCAGAAATACAATTATTACTAGTAACAACCTTTATTTATGATATCAATAATTCAATTGTTACTAGTTGAAATGTTATTCTTGATATCAACAATTGAATTGCTACTAGTAAAAATTTTCATTTTTGATATCAATAATTCAATTTTCACTAGTGATAGTGTTAATTTCTGATATCATGAATGTGATTGTTACTAGTAAGAAAGCCATTTTAGATATCTGAAATAATATTGATATCAGAAATACATTTTCAGATATCAAAAAGTAACAATTTTACTAGTAACAATTGAATTGTTGATATCAAGAATAGACATTTCAACTAGTGACAATTTAATTATTGATATCAGGAATTCACATTTTTACTAGTAACAATGTAATTATTGATATCAAAAATGATATTTCTACTAGTTAAAAAAGAATTCTTGATATCAACAATTCATTTTGAATGGCAGCCTATGGTGACATTTCACTAGTGAAAATACAATTACAGATATCAGCAATTCAATTGTTGATATCAACAATTCAATTGTTGATATCAAGATTTGAATTGTTGATATCAAGAATTCAATTGTTCATATCAAGAATTCAATTTTTGATATCAACAATTAAATTCTTGATATCAAAAATTGGCATTGTTGATATCAAGAATTCATATCCTGGAAATGAATAAAAGCTAAAACGGCATAGGCTGCCATTCAAAATGAATTGTTGATATCAAGAATTGATTTTTTACTAGTAGAAATATCATTTTTTATATCAATAATTACATTGTTACTAGTAAAAATGTGAATTCCGGATATCAATAATTAAATTGTCACTAGTTGAAATGTTTATTCTTGATATCAACAATTCAATTGTTACTAGTAAAAATTACCATTTTTGATATCTGAAAATATATTTCTGATATCAATATTATTTCAGATATCTAAAATGGCTTTCTTACTAGTAACAATCACATTCATGATATCAGAAATTAACACTATCACTAGTGAAAATTGAATTATTGATATCAAAAATGAACATTGTTACTAGTAGCAATTCAATTGTTGATATCAGGAATAACATTTCAACTAGTAACAATTTAATTCTTGATATCAAAAATAAAGTTTTTTACTAGTAATAATTGTATTTCTGATATGTGAAATTGGAATTTCAACTAGTAAGAAATCAATTCTTGATATCAACAATTGGTTTTGAATGGCAGCCTATGGGGACATTTCACTAGTGAAAATACAATTGTTGATATCAAAAATGTAATTGTTGATATCAACAATTGAATTCTTGATATCAGAAATGTATTTGTTGATATCAAGAATGTAATTGTTGATATCAAGAATGTAATTGTTGATATCAAGAACATAATTGTTGATATCAATAATTTAATTGTTGATATCAACAATTAAATTCTTGATATCAAAAAATGTAATTGTTGATATCAACAATTGAATTCTTGATATCAAGAATTCATATCCTAGAAATGAATAAAAGCTAAAACGGCTTGCCATACTTTATCGACATGGTGTAGTCTTCGGAAAAAGTCCGTTAGAGGTAACTTAGCAAGGCTAAAGAGGTAACGTTAACGTTAGCAAGGCTAACATCCACGTTAACTCGGTTGAACTTTTATTTATTAAAGTTTCTTTTAATCACCTCTTATGTGTAAATGAGAGGTTTTGTAAGGGTTTTACTGGGAAGTGAGCTAATTTATTTAACACAAACGTAAACGTAACGTATCGGTGATGTTTCAGGACTTTTAGGAGCAATTGGCCGAAACTAACGTTAGCTCAATGGTAACGTTAAACACATTTTGATTAAATGTTCTGTGATTTCAGTAGTAACGAAATAACCCATAGCAGAGAGAAAGCTCCACTAAGTTACTTCAACATTTCTGAAGAAAGCTGCTGTCGGAGAAGTAACGTTTACGTTAGGACACAGGTGAGCCGAGGAAGCTCAATAAATAAAAAACATTTATGATTATTATCAGTGTTGAAAACAGTTGTGCTGCTTTGTGTTGTTCAGGATTATTTGATGAATAGAAAGGTTTAAATAACAGCATTTATTTGAATATATTTGTTAATGTAATGCATCCTTGCTGAGTAAAAATATGTATTTCTTCTTTTTTTGTTCTATTAATTTTTAAATCTATCATTGACCCCAAATGTTTGAACATTAGTGTAAACTACCCTTCATATGTTTGTGGTCTATTTAACAATGAATCCTGGAGGGGAAAAATGGTTTAAACTGTTACAATGGTTTACACAAACGCATTTTACCCCTAAACTCTGGAATACCTATGAAGGTAAAAGAGTAACAAGACTCGAGCACAAACAATAAATACTTGTATGCTAAAATTTACACTCACAGCTCCAACGTGAAAACTTCATCTAATATGCAATAACGTTGAAAAGATCACAGTTTCTGTCCTGACGAAAATTTTCTATCTTATTTTTTGCTTTGCAGAACAAGTTTGGAGTTAACCAGAACTCTTATAGACTCCATCTTGTCTTCAAAGAGATGGCAACATGAACGGGAAAAAAGGGGTTGTTGGTGAAAAAAGAGTCTTGACCTACAAAAGGTGCAGCTAATAATTGGTAAGCATGTCTGAATATCTTTTATCAATAGTTATTATATGACAAGCGCTGAGCGTGTCTGTCAGCGACAGCCATAGCTTGGAAAGCACAGTTTGAATCTGGCAGTTATGTCACGTCATGACAAACTTGTTTTCAAATTTTAATGTAATAAATCTCATTTCTTACAGACTGTCAAAAAGAGGCACCCAGGCATCGGAGGCACTGAGATCAAGGTCTGCATGGCACAAAAGTTAAGAGATCTGAGGAGACGAGCAGAAAGGTAATATTCAGACGATCCAACATCCAAGTGTGATCCCCATGTGTCTGTTTACATTTGCGAAACCGACATGAGTGAGGTCGGAGGATTATTCCTCAGTCTACATTGTGATCTATTCACAAACTGTCAATAGTTTTTTTTTATAAATGATACGCATCACTCGTCATATACAGTTGTTTAAGCAAGATGTAAACGGCATTGCTGTTTGCCAACATTTTTTGCTTTCATAGCATATTTACGTAAAACGTTTAATGACATAATAATATTACAAATGAATAAGAATTAATTATTAAGCCCCATCCACTTTAGGCTTCGAAAATGCTTTTCAGAAACCTACGGGGTGACGTCATGGACACTACGTCCAAATATTTTTTTTTTTACAGTCTATGGTTTGCACTGTCCTAATCTTTGATCTTTTTCTATCCCAAAACAGGATGCCTGCTGAAGGAGACACAAAGGACTGAGACAATACACTTTTACAAAAGCACACCACACACACACACGCACACATGCGTGTATACCTGCGTTTTTTGTGGCTTTTTATGTATTTATGTATAATATGTGTGCTAAACAAAAGTGTATATAGTTTCTCATTGATAATTGTCTTGAGATATTCACATTTATTCACATTTATAAACTTGTATTTTTATAATCTCCTAAAGTCTTAGAATTTATGTTTTCATGTTCATGATTATTTTTTATTATTTTTTATTTAATTTTGTAATACATGTTGTTTATAAAAATACATGTTCACGGCTTTTGTATATGAAGAGTTCAGATGCAAAAGCCTCTAAGTGTCATTTGAAATTTTCTTCTAAAATGATCATTTTTATCAAGCTTGTATATTTAAGTTCAGTAATTTCACTTAAATGGCAATGAAGATTACGTATTAAATTGACATTTAAGTGAAATTACTGAACTTAAATACACAAGCTTGATAAAAATGGTCATTCTAGAACAAAATTTCAAATGGCACTTAGAGGCTTTTGCATCTGAACTCTTCATATAGATACATTTTTGGCATACATTCAATTTATTGTAATGATTTTATATTCATACAATCAATTGTTTTAATTTTTAAAAATAATATTACTATTCAGGTCAATGTGAACAATAAACAATGTCAGTTTCTCATGATATTTAATTAGTATATGATCATATATGTCCTATTTACATTTATTAAATTATTACAGGCTAATCTCTTTAGTTTTAGAATCTTTATCTTCATGGTTTCAAACTGCAATTTTGATTTTTTTTTTATAAATATGTTGTTTAAAATATATGTGCATGGCTTTTCGTGGCATTAAAATTTTGTGCATACATTACATTTATTGTAGTAATCTTCATACGATTCTTATGTTTTGGAAAAAATAAACAACATAGAAGATATTTTTTGTAGACTTATTTGTGTACAGGCATATCGGGATGTAGAGGTTAGGAGAACGTTCTGGGAACCTTTAGGGAACGTTCCGGGAACCTTTAGGGAACGTTCCCGGAACGTTCCGGGAACCTTTAGGGAACGTTCCGGGAACGTTCTGGGAATGTTCCGGGAACGTTCTGGGAACGTTCCAGAAAAGTTCCCGGAACGTTCCCCTAACCTAAAGGGAACGTTCTATTAACGTAAAGAAAACTTTCCTAGGTAACCAATAGGGAACGTTAGAAATGTTTGTTCTGAGAACGTTCTGAGAACGTTCTGGGAACCTGAAAGTAACGTTCTGGGAACCAAAAATTGTTAACTGGGAGGCAGCTACACGGAGCGATCTTCAAGACCCCTTCATGTGATTAACTCAGAGAAAAGTGATCAAATACAACAGAAAACAGGATTTCTGAACTGATGCTATAATATGAAGGAGCTGATGCCAGAGTAAGATGCGGATGAGACGGAGGCTAGTGAAACAGATCGATGCAGATGGATGGAACATCAATGTGCCACAAATTAACTTCCTTGTAGGAAATATATATAAATTCATCGCCTTGGTGAGTTAAAACCCAAGCATTAACTTGACATTTATATAAAAATGTGCTGCGGATCTGATAGAGATTCAAAACAGTGTCATAGACTGTGCGAGCCGAAGTGGATAGCACATGGGCTAAAGCTGACGCACGTGTGAGAATGCTAATGAAGTACGCTATTAAGTGTTAAAGTGTTATGTTTAATGTGTTGATTGAAGTGCATACATGTGTTTTGACGATGATATTGTTTAACTGTGGATTAATTATTGTTCTGCCTTGTGTTTTACAAGGCTGGGTTTTTTTGTGAGATTCAAGTTCTTCTGTGATGATTCCCTGATTCGTGCTGGACGCACGAGGTGCAGATTGTAAATGGCGAGCCACCGGAACCATATTTTCTGTTGAACTGTGTTTTTTGAGCCATCAAACTGGTAGGAGAATTCTTTCTTTTACTATTGGACAAAACGGGACTTGGACTCATTAAGATCATCTTGCTTTCTATTTTTCCTTTTGATTTTCCAACAAAAGACATTGATTGTGATTCTGATTCATTCTAAAAGAATCAACAGTTCTCTGAACCCATCGACCGAGTTACGAACTCTGGTTAACCGAATCTGATTGTCAAATCGTGAGTCTCTGATTCACATTGGTCAGACTATTAAGTTTAAAGAGAAATTTGTTTGCAACTAAAAGTGAAATTTCTGAATTTCATTCTGTGAACTGAATCAAACTGATTGTTCATTTGATTTGATTTTGAAGTATTTGAACTACTGATTGCAATACTTTGTGTGGAAGCATTATCCATTGTTATTTACTTTTATTGTATTACAAGGAATTTGACACAGAGGTTTATTTTATTTCTTTTATTGTTTTTCATCAATATGTGAGAGTCTGGTTCAATAGAGTACTGTCCAAAACTGAGTCCACGTATCTGGAAAAAAACAAGAGTGTGAATATTGTCATTTACCATATTTGATTTGTTATCTTTGTAATCCACACATTTTATGTAAAAGTATATTTCCACTTAATACAAAACCCAATCTGAATCATAAAGAAGTCTTTGTATTGATTGTTCACTCACCTGTTGTGCTGTCTTCCTCTCTCCAGTAGTCGCACCTTTCTTCTGATTATTTGGCCTTATTGAATGTTACGCTAGTAAGACGCGCTAAACACGTGTCACACGCTACAAGAGTCTATGTTGGTTTCATGTTCATTTATTGTGTTTTCCCCCCTTGTGGGTTTTTGATTTGTGTTTGTTTTGTTTTTGTTAATAAATCCTCCTTGTTTTGCACTTGAGTTCTCTTCCGTGACAGGTATTCAGGAAAAATAATTGAGGCTGCTTAGTGCTTAACATATGTTAAAATATAAAAACTCCACATTTAGATTTTTTATAGGCAGAGTATGTTGTTAACTGTGTGTGTGTGCTCCGCTCATGTGTGTAGATTTCTCTGCGCGAGCGTCAACAGCGCAACCTTCCCAGATAGCAAACTGACATTGAATCAACGTGGAAATATGACATCGAAACAACGTTGATCTGACATTGTTTTGCTCATCGAATTAACGTTGAACCAACGTCAGATGCGTCATTCTTTCAAAACTAACGGAAAATCAACTTAAAATCAACGCGTTGTTTCAACGTTATGAAAGCAAACCAATTTTCGATTTCATTTAGCTTTGAAGAATGCCGCGTCTGACGTTGGTTCAACGTTAATTCGATGAGCAAATCAACGTTGTTTCAATGTCATGAGAGACGTCGTTTCCACGTTGATTCAATATCAGTTTGCTGTCTGGGTTACCATCAGTAATACAGTAGGCCTGCTACATTTATTATCCACAATCGATCGCAACTTGCAATAAATGTAATAAAATCAGAATCATTCTCTCGGTTTAGTGATTCCCTAGTTATTTTTTTGTTTGTTATTGATGTTCAGGCTACTTGTCCGTTGGGGCGAGTAAAATTCTCTTTTACTTGTCCTTCAAAAATCCATTTGTCCCGGAAAAGCGGTCAAGTTAGACGGGGTCTAGAGATACGAACCGTGGCAGGTTAGAGTGTTTTGGATTGCATAAAATAATGAAAGAAACGAACAAATACATGGCGAAAGAAGTGCTAGACAGCAGAAGATGTGATTGGGATCATGATTGGATCATGATAGGATGATTTTTTAATAAAACTATAGGCGGATGGAGGTATTAGTATGTGGTGTGTGCATGCCTATGAATGCATGTTTTTGTAGCTATGTGTGCGAATATGAATAAAAATATCCTAAATTACAAAAAAAGACTTGTATAATATGTATTATCCCAGCAGGCACACAACGTCATATGACGTTGATATTTGGTTTAATTTTGGTTGGTGACCAACGTCGGTGACCAAAATCCAACATCAACTCAACGTCTATGGCCAATGTTAATTTGACGTCAAATAATGACGTCAGCTGACGTTGTTATTTTGTTGTTTTTAGGTTGTGTTGTTATGTTACCAAAATCCAACGTCTTTTTGACGTCATAATGGTAACGTCCACACAACGTCCAAATTCCAACATCATTAGATGTTGATATTTTGTTGGTTTTAGGTTGTGGTATTAACTAACCAAAATACAACGTCATGCCAACGTCTCCTGACAACGTCATATTTACGTCAAAAACTGACATTTAGTCGTGAGGTATGGTGACCAAAACCCAACATGTTCTTAACGTGATAATGCATCGTCCACACAACGTCAAATTCTAACATCATTAGACGTTGATATTTTGTTGGTTTCAGGTTGTGGTATTAACTTACCAAAATACAACGTCAAGCCAACGACTCCTGAGAACGTCATATTTACGTCAAAAACTGACATTTAGTCGTGAGGTATTGTGACCAAAACCCAACATGTTCTTAACGTCATAATGGAAACGTCCACACAACGTCAAATTTTAACATCATTAGACGTTGATATTTTGTTGGTTTTAGGTTGTGGTATTAACTTACCAAAATACAACGTCAAGCCAACGACTCCTGAGAACGTCATATTTACGTCAAAAACTGACATTTAGTCGTGAGGTATGGTGACCAAAACCCAACATGTTCTTAACGTCATAATGGAAACGTCCACACAACGTCAAATTTTAACATCATTAGACGTTGATATTTTGTTGGTTTTAGGTTGTGGTATTAACTAACCAAAATACAACGTCATGCCAACGTCTCCTGACAACATCATATTTACGTCAAAAACTGACATTTAGTCGTGAGGTATGGTGACCAAAACCCAACATGTTCTTAACGTGATAATGCATCGTCCACACAACGTCAAATTCTAACATCATTAGACGTTGATATTTTGTTGGTTTCAGGTTGTGGTATTAACTAACCAAACTACAACGTCAAGCCAACGTCTCCTGAGAACGTCATATTTACGTCAAAAACTGACATTTAGTCGTGACGTATGGTGACCAAAACCCAACATGTTCTTAACGTCATAATGGTAACGTCCACACAACGTCAAATTTTTAACATCATTAGACGTTGATATTTTGTTGGTTTCAGGTTGTGGTATTAACTAACCAAAATACAATGTCATGCCAACGTCTCCTAACAAAGTCATATTTATGTCAAAAACTGACATTTAGTCGTGAGGTATGATGACCAAAACCCAACATGTTCTTAACGTGATAATGCATCGTCCACACAACGTCAAATTCTAACATCATTAGACGTTGATATTTTGTTGGTTTCAGGTTGTGGTATTAACTAACCAAAATACAACGTCAAGCCAACGTCTCCTGAGAACGTCATATTTACGTCAAAAACTGAC